AGGGTCTTTGGTCTGTGATAGAATTTCCAGCAACTCATCGTTGGACAGGAAGAAGAATCTGGGGAAGTACAGTCTTTTCTTTTCCAGGTACGAATTGAGACCTTTTTGAATGTCCTCCAGAAGCACGTTGGACTCTTGCAAGCGCTCGAGCATGTTAGGTTGGTCCGTAGCCACCAACGTGCGCGTGTCTCTGTTGGTCTCGGAAATAATTTTTTTGAAGCAGCTGTCTACGGTGGCGAATTTGCGTCCCTCTTCTGGCATCTGAGCTATGATGTCTTCCGAACTGAAGATGGGTTCAAGGTAGAGCCACGTTGCCTGACACTTGAGCATGGCGTCCAAGATGTCCTGCATGCTGAGCAGTTTTTCCTCCCATTGCTTACATTCGGCTTCTATGGTCTTGACGAAGGGCGACGCTTTCATGCTTTGCGTCCTCATGATGTTGTCGTCCAGGAGCATCTGGATGTCATCCACGGCCGAAATGATTTTGAATTCCGTATCTCTGTATTGGGTGAGTGAGAAGCGGAGCTCGGCCCAATCGAGTTTCATGTTCACCAGGGATCTCTCCAGGGAGTACTCTTTACTGGCCAATCCTCCGATTTCTTCCAACCTTGCGGAATACTGAGACAGGCCCAGGTCCAACATGTCTCGCAATGAGCTGTCCTCTCCTGGTTTGATTTCAAAACCCACGACTTCGCTTATCTCCTCCCAGTGGTGGGCTTTCATACCTGGGTTGCAGATCGTGGTCAGAATGGGCAGGTGCTTCCTGAACTCGTCTATACTGGCTTTGCAGTTTTGGGTCACGCCGCAAGGCCCGGGAAGTTCGTTGAAAGACTTGCCAAGTTTGTGCATGGTCCTGAACATGCCATCCAACTGCTCTGAGACTTGGTCAGCGTTCAGATTTTGGAAAGGACCATCCATCCACACTTTGGAGTTTTCTTCGAAGCTCAGGGCTGTGCCCCAGAGCTGTTCGTGTGGCAGCTTGTCGGTGATCATCATCTGTAGCATGGGGAATTGCGTCTGGTCCTTGTCCAGCAATCCCTGCTGCCTGTTGATATCTTCCAGCTCAAAGACGGCAGACTGGAGGTTCTCAGTGATTTCTGAGAGAGTGCCAACATTCTTTTTGATCTCCTCTATATTCATGACAGATTTTTCTCTGAATGCCTTGATATTGGCGTCCATCTCCAGCATCCTGCAGTCGAAGATTCTGATTCTCCTGTGAAGATTGTCTTCAACTTTTTCCCTCATGGTGGCCAGACGGGCCTTGCTGTCGTCGAGCTCGCCCAGGATCCGTTTGGGCCACTGAAAAACACGGGCGTTCAGCGCAACGTCATCGATGGAAAGAGAGGCGTAATCAAGAAGAAACATGAGACGTCCTTTGGCCTCGTCGATCTCGCCTTTGAGATGGACGGTGGTCACGTCGATGGTTTGTTTGATGTATTGATAGAGAGACACCACTTCCTCCGTAGTAGCCGGGGTACTCCGCAGCATCTCCGTGATCTCCTCATACTTTTCACAGATCCCCATGTTGAGTGATCTGTTCTCGTCCACCTCGAACATTATGATCCTGTCTTTCAGTGCGTCACAACGGTCGCACAGATCTTGGTGCAGTTGGCTGGAGTCCAGAGAAAACATAGACAGAGGCACCTCGACAGGCAGTGAGGCGATCTCTTTCCACTTGCGATTGATGCCCTCAATTTTGGTCCTGAATTCTTCCATCGAGTGCTTTTCTGCTAGGAACGCCGTTATATCCTGCTCCGCCGTATCTTCCAGCAGATCGTTGTATTTTTGATACACGTCCAAATACTTTTCAGGTCCGACGGTGTTGGCGTGGAAAACCACCTCAACTTTTTTTGTCAGTTCCGTAACCATTAAGTCGTCGGGTCTCATGGTGCGAAGGTAGGTGTCGGCGGCGTAGGGAAGGGACGTGATGGGAAGATTGCATTCCAATCTGGGCAACTTTTCGGAACTGTGGAGTATTTCCGCAAAGGCCGCTCTAACTATTTCCAAACAATCCGGCAAGCCAGGACATATGTCGATGTCGGATTCTTTTATCTCCAGCTTGACAAGCAGAATGGGAGTGTGAACGAACTTCTTGTCGTCGTATCGATCTCCGAAGTCGTTACCTTTCTCGTGTATGGCGAAGAAGCAGAACAACTCTTGTAACGACTGAAGGACCAGGCCTCGTAGCTGCAAGGACATCAACGCCGCCACGCAATTGAAAAACTCCTGCTCTCGAGCGATATCGATTTGGTCGTTCAGATGCACAAAGGGCCACCAGAGGTCTTTAAAGTTTTCCAATACCGTCGAACACTGAGGCAACCAGTTTTGAATGAGTTCTTCTCTGGCATTTCGACACTGCGTCCGAACAAACTCATCAAACGCGGACGGCACAAGGGGGAGGCCCGCGGAGAAAAGATCTTCCGGCCTGACAAATCTCAACATGGAGAAGCCGTTGAGCCAGACGTCGTGAAGCATGGAAACGATTTGGTTTACGGTGAACAGATGCTGGCTTTGCCACGCGTGATGCTTCCTGTAATTGGCCGACCACGGGACCGGGGCACGGATCACCTTCCTGGGAAAGGGTTGGGGAGTGCCGGCTACAGACAGTCGGCGGCGCTCCAACGGATCTATCAGAATGTAATCCACTATGCTTTTCTTCAGACTGAAACGATATCCTTTTTTGACCTCATCTTCCAAATTATTCCTGACAATCTTGATCTTTTTCCGAGTCTTTTTGTCATCGCTGTCCTCCGTGTCAGGAGGCAGCATGCGCCAAATGTTCATCATCTGCTTACGCGGCTGAGGCGCGATCACTGAATCGGGCACACTGCTGTTCACGTAGTACAAATACCTGCCAATGTCCGCATCGGCGGCTTTCGCCTCGGCGTCCTTCTCCTTCTGTTGTTCGGACATAATTTTTAACTGCTCTGTAGGACTCAAAGGCCGGTCGGCGCGAGAGGATTTACTGGGAATACGGTGGCGTATCACCTCTTTGTAGGGAATCGCCATCGTCGTGGAATGGGGCTGGAGGATGGGCGGGAACTCACTGTTTTTCATTACTTTTTGATACAGTTCTGAGGGTTCTTGGCCTTCTGGCAAACGAGGGAGATGAAATTTCCCCCTAGTTTGATCCAGGTTATCTACGGAGGAGTCCTCCGCCGGCTCTCGACGTTTCATCTTGCTCGCCAAATAGATCCAAACCAAAAGTAGAAAAGAATGCAATCAATGTCGTTTTCTCGTTTGTTTGGTGGTAGATGTCATAGCACTTTTTTCTGAATAATCGTTCCTTTTAGGACAGGGATCCTTCTCCTTTGTCCTTAATAATTACTCGGCGCTGCCCTCTGCGTTCGGTGCGTGAAGGCGGTTGGCGCAAGTAATGTCTCATTACTGCCTCCGACGTTTTTTTTGCCTCGGCCTCCTTTCAGACTCTGCTTCTTTGTCCGAGTTAGTATAAAGCAGTAGGTTAGCGTAAAGCAGTTACTTCTAATGTGGTTTTAACTACTTACATGGAAAGCGAAAGACTTTGATGCAGTGGTGACCTAATCGTGACATCGTACGCGGGTGATCAAAGGCATCTGCACTTTAGAGCGAGGGTGTCAAACTCAGATTCGCAGAAAAAAAATGAGAAACTGGGATGAAGTCCTCCAGTTGTAGTTTAGAGTTTTTTTCATACGGAAACCTAATATTATAAAGAAATTGAATTTGAAATAAAACACACATTGGTGGTTTTTGTTCTCTGAGAGTTCCTTTTAATTTAAATCTATGCACTATAACATAGCTAAATTTCATCGAACGCACCACAAACTCACAGATGCACCGCTCTATATCAAAAGAGGAGATACCGCCATCGCTTTGTGCCCTCGGTCGTCGTGCACGATTCCAATACGACAATGATCCAAAGCACAAATGACGGCACAGTGAGAAATGTGTATGATAATGCAAAAATGTGAATATCACAATGGGAGTTTTTGCTAGTCAAACAGTTTGCTTTCCAATGTTGTCAGAGACACTCACTCCCACGATGGAACGTCATCTACAGGTCTGAGCTTAAAATATCACTATGGAGGTAAAAAAAAAAAAAAGAAAAGAAAATTGTACGTTTGTTTAAAAAAAAATTAAAGGACTAAAAATTGTACTTTGTTAACCAGGGAAATATTCAGACTATTTGATAATTATACTAATGATTAGTTTTAGGCCAAGAAGAACTGAGCTGATGCAGTTAAAGTAGTACTAAAGTGAAACCTCAGAGAACTGACATCCTTAATAACTGTAACCAGCAGTGACAAGTTCCACTGCAACACCGCTCACGAGTGTTTTTGTGCATTCTTAGAATGGTCAATTCAACGTACATCTAGTCAACTCACTCTCGATCATGAGTTTATTTGTTCAGTTTCAGCTGGGTACAGTGGTGTTTGAACCTATGGCTCGCGAACCAGATGTGGCTCTTTTGATAAGTGCATCTGTCTCTCAGATGAATCTTAGCTGGTAGTTCTTAACACAATAAGTAATAAATAATTTCGCTGATATTCAAGTAAAAATTACAGAAATCATAGTGTTAAAATAATCTTGTGTATTTGTCGCGGCAGCGTACTCTCTTTGAGTTGTGTTAAATGATTCGGGTAAAATCATCAGCTTGATACGTCATCTTTTATTTCTGGCATAAATAGTGAAAACAAAGTCAGTCAATTTTGGAGCAACACACAGGTCTGACGCTGAAAATATAAAGTAAATAATAGTACAGGTAATGATAAAAAAATAATATTATCAAATTAATTAATGACGGAGCTCCTAACGTGCACCTACCATAAGGAAAGTAGAGCCCGACTGTTGCTCTCCGGGGTTCACAACTTTAATCTGCAGGGGTGTTGCATTTAATGACCGTACGATAAATTAAGATTTTTCTTAGGTGATGTGTATTAAACTCTTTTGTATGGCAAGTGGAACCATATATTTATAACTCTGTTACACATTTTAATCCATACTTTTTTTTTTTGCCTTAGAGCCAATCGCATCAAAACCATGCAGCACCAGAAATCGCATTAATGGTAAGAAGTATTTTATGTATGAATAGTATAACAATGTTAATATTTTATATTTTAAAATAACTTTAATATCTTTTTTAATACTTCAGAAACTCATTATACTCTAAAATTATTGGTCTGGTTTAAAAAATCATACATTCAGTTGTATTCAGAGTAAAAATAAAATTGGATGGCTCTCACAGTAATACTGTGAAACCTGAGTTTTGGCTCTCTCTGCTGAAAAAGGTTACCGACCCTGACGTAAAGGATGAAAATAAGGTTTTATTATTAAGAGTCTTTCTTTCAATTACTAGGAAGATGGAAACAAAAGAGTAAAAGACATGTATAATATGGAATTTATAACTGCAAAATGAACATTAAGAACAGTTTGTGTTTTTTGACAAAATGGCTCCTGATTTATATTTTTTTCTTTTGATAGAGTTAGATGTGTTAGTTGTGTATAAATGTGCAGACATTTTTTGTATATGCTGATGGCTTATAGACTCTATACTGACCTCATTTTGTATATTTCCTGTATGCTAACAAGCTTAATTCAAGTACAAGGTGAGAGTTTCACACTGAACGTAGTAGCATTCAACTGGATCTTGGAGTGAGTTGGCCTATGTGGACTATATGTACTGTATATATGTGAATTTGTATATTTCAAAATGCCCAGAAAGACATGTTTTTTATATATATATATATAATGTTAAAAATATAATATATGTTTTAATGAAATAGTCATTTCATTTTTTTATCAAGGAAAAAGTGACTAAACTAACAAAACTAAAAAAAAGAATGTGAATGTCAGCGGTGAACTGTAGGGGGCACGCTGGAACGTTTGTATAACGGAAGTAGGATGACGTTGTACGGTCTTTATTTCCGGTTCCGGATCTGGCGCATGTTTCACGAGTGTTAGCCGTTTGGGCTTCAAGTGGACGCTTAAATCAAAAACTGGACACGGTGGCTACATCTGATTGATTAAAATGGTGAGTTTTTGAAAACAGTTATCGGTTGTATTTTGTGTGAAATGGTAGTCGATCGGTCGAGACCGTTACTGCAATTTACGCTAGCATATGCGTCTCGGATGCTAACGTTAGCTTTTGTCAGAAGTTAACATGATTCGTAGTTACGTTTTTCGTCGTAAATAATGAATACGGAGTTGGTATTTGACATGAGTTTGAGCTGGGCTAATGTACCTTTTTGAAAAATGAACGCGCAAATATTGCTTTTCTGTACAGAAACCCATCCTACTGCAGGGCCACGAACGGTCCATCACACAGATCAAGTACAACAGAGAAGGAGACCTTCTGTTTTCCGTCGCCAAAGATCCGGTGAGTGACCCAAAATGATTGAATTTAACGTGCCACCAGTGACTATAGGATAGTATTTAGTTTGACGTGATGAATATGGAATTTCCACCTGAAGCTACAAATGGCTACACGACTCTTCTTGTCGAGTAGCATCAGCTAGTTTTGACTTGCAAATGTCTTACAAACAGGGCTGTATGCTCTATAATGAGTGTGATATCAAATCATACTATAATCATGAGAAGGGGAGACGACTTTGGTCAGTAGAATTGATTTATTTTTATTCAGATTAAAAGAAAAGTAGATGTTATTGGTGGCGCCAGTAGTATAGAGCAAACCAATAATTTGTGAAGGGACGCCATGATTGCAGTTAAGCCTTTTAATATGTACCTTCAACGATGTCTCCCCACACAGGTGGCCAACGTGTGGTACTCTGTCAACGGCGGACGACTCGGTACCTACAACGGACACACGGGAGCTGTGTGGTGCGTCGACTGTGACTGTATCCATTCATGTTATTTAGCTTGGTATACAGCCGTGTCTTCACCAGGGATGTCATAAGTTGATGTCACTAATAATTAGCGATATGAAGGCCTTAGTAGTCCCTGACAGTGTCATAAAATATAACCAAAGTGAAGGTGAACAATTAACGCAATAAACAAGAGAAGAATGGCATACTGCAACAATGTCACATGAGTTTATGACATTAAAGGTTATGTTGTCATGCAATGGCACAGTCTTGTGAAACCAATAAAAGCATAATATATAGTAATAATATTGTGATTAATTCTCTGACAGTTATTGTACTAAGTAAATGTGTAATCATGACACAGTTGACCCTAGTGTACGCTCATGAATTGAAATATGCTACTTTCCCTAACTGGTTCTTCTCAGGGGACACAAAAAATGTTTTGACAGGATCAGCTGACAACAGCTGTCGACTGTGGGACTGTGAGACCGGTGAGTGAAAAGGAAATGCATGTGTTTACATAGTACAGCACATATGTAGTGCAGTACAGCAACAAAACAACAATAAAATCACCCAAATAGGTAAAATAGATTAAAATACAAACATGAGTAGCAGCACACTGTCAATGGGTATTGGAAACCCAAACAGTGGTTGTTTGTAGATTAGTCGGTTGGTAGAAGTAAATAGATAAATTAGTATTGGTAGGTAATTATTGTTGCAGTATTTGGTAGTGTTCATTGCAATCTCATAAATATGTATATATTATATTTTTTGTTGTACTGTAGTTCTAAATGAAATTGTATAAAGGTATGATGTGTGTGTATATCTGTATTTATGTATAAAAAGTATACCACGTTATACCTATGATATGTATATATAAGCAGAACTAGTATCATTATAATATGGTTATGGGAACAAATATATGAAATATATGAACAGTTTCTGTAGTGAATTAATGAAATTAAATAATCAGTTAGCTGTATAGGTGGTTCCAGCAGACATTAATGTACACTGTATGTGTGTACAGTGTATTGAGTGTTTAGATGTATTTTGGAACATTTCCTATCATGTGTTTTATGTTTAATTTTTGCTGTCTTTATTAATGCTTCACAGGGAAACAGCTGGCACTGCTCCACACTAACTCTGCCGTCAGAACATGCGGCTTCGACTTCAGCGGCAACATCATCATGTTTTCCACCGACAAGCAGATGGGCTATCAGTGTTTCATGAACTTCTTTGACCTGAGGGATCCACAACAAATCGGTAGGTGATCGTCACGCACGCAACATAAACCAACTAGAAAATCAGAATCAGTCTATGCAGACAGGGTGTTTGTATGCACTGATAGATCACTGATTGTCTTTGTTATTGTGTGTCCGCATAAAGAGGACAACCAGCCGTACCTGACGATACCCTGCAGCGAACACAAGGTGACCAGCGCCGTGTGGGGACCTTTGGGAGAGTTTGTCATTGCCGGCCATGAAAACGGAGAGATCAACCAGTTCAGCGCCAAGGTAAGTCAGGGTGTAAAAAGCAGAATGCAGTTGCTTGTCATATGTACTGTATATATGGTGAGCATGTAGGGTACCTCAGTTAGACACTGGAGGGCACTGTTGTTATTCTACTGTTTAACAGTGTAGGGGAGTTCGTGAAGGGTAAATACGTTTATATGTAAATCATCCTCATCCTTTTGAGTACTCCTACTAATAACAATCACATCCACTGAGCCCAATAATTGTAAAATCTTGGCTTGTAGGTGGACTTTAATCATTTCATTAATTTCAATTTTATTTATAGAGCGCATTTCATGCACAAAGCAAACTAAATGTGCTTTACAGACATCACGTAATTACGTGAAAGTTATCACGAAATACACTGGTCCCTCTCATATCGCAGTCGTTGTGATCGGAGGGCACAACAACAGTGCCCTCCTGTGTCGAACTGAGGTATCCTACATTAATTAAATGCTCACCATATATACAGTACATATGTCAAGTATGACATGCCGGTATCTTAGATTTCTCAACCGTACGTACTGTACATGATTGTTATTTTAATGTGTTACTCTGTATGTATGTGTGGCAAAATGTCTTAGATATAATTTCTCGTGCGCTACGTTTCTCTTTTTTTTTCCTATGTCCCTTTAGGACCTAAATCTTATACCATATCTTGTCCCCATGTCCCTTTAAAGGGAAAAAAAAAAGGGGGAAAAAAGAGAAACATAACGCCGGTATCTTAGATTTTCCAACCGTACGTACTGTACATGATTTTATTTTAATGTATTACCCTTTATGTATGTGTGGCAAAATGTCTTAAATATTTGTGAGCACGAGAAAGTATCTAGTGAGCACGAGAAAGTTTATCTAAGACATTTTGCCACACATACATACAGGGTAACACATTAAAATAAAATCATGTACTGTATATGATTTTATTTTAATGTATTACCCTTTATGTATGTGTGGCAAAATGTCTTAGATATTTGTGAGCACGAGAAAATATCTAGTGCGCACAAGTCACAATGTCCCTTTAGGACCTAAATCTTGTACCATATCTTGTCCCCCTGTCCCTTTAAAGGGACAAAAAAAAGGGGGAAAAAAGAGAAACATAACGCCGGTATCTTAGATTTTCCAACCGTACGTACTGTACATGATTGTTTGTTATTTTAATGTATTACGCCGTATGTATGTGTGGCAAAATGTCTTAGATAAACTTTCTCGTGCTCACTAGATACTTTCTCGTGCTCACAAATATTTAAGACATTTTGCCACACATACATACAGGGTAACACATTAAAATAAAATCATGTACATGATTTTATTTTAATGTATTACCCATTATGTATGTGTGGCAAAATGTCTTAGATATTTGTGAGCACGAGAAAATATCTAGTGCGCACAAGTCACAATGTCCCTTTAGGACCTAAATCTTGTACCATATCTTGTCCCCATGTCCCTTTAAAGGGACAAAAAAAAGGGGGAAAAAAGAGAAACATAACGCCGGTATCTTAGATTTTCCAACCGTACGTACTGTACATGATTGTTTGTTATTTTAATGTATTACCCTCTATGTATGTGTGGCAAAATGTCTTAGATATTTGTGCGCACGAGAAAATATCTAGTGCGCACAAGTCACAATGTCCCTTTAGGACCTAAATCTTGTACCATATCTTGTCCCCATGTCCCTTTAAAGGGAAAAAAAAAAGGGGGGAAAAAAGAGAAACATAACGCCGGTATCTTAGATTTTCCAACCGTACGTACTGTACATGATTGTTTGTTATTTTAATGTATTACCCTGCATGTATGTGTGGCAAAAGGTCTTGGATATACTTTCTCGTGCGCACTAGATACGCTTTTCTCCCCCCCCATGTCCCTTTAGGGCAGGGATGTCAAACTAATTTGCACCCGGGCCACATCAGCAATACAGTTCCTGTTGAAGGGCCGGTTTTAAATGGAGGACTGTATAGGTCAGGGGTCCCCAGCCCCTGGTCCGCGAACCAGTACCAGTCCATAGGTCATTTGGTACCGGCCTGCGGTTGGTGACCGTGAAAAAATTCTAATTAACTTCATTGGAAATCTAAGATACCGGCATGTCATGCCTGACATATGTACTGTATATATTATGGTGAGCATTTAATTAATGTAGGATACCTCAGTTCGACACAGGAGGGCACTGTTGCCCTCTGTTGTTGGTATCTTAGATTTCCCAACCGTAGTACTGTACATGATTGTTTGTTATTTTAATGTATTACCCTGTATGTATGTGTGGCAAAAGGTCTTGGATATACTTTCTCGTGCGCACTAGATACGCTTTTCTCCCCCCCCATGTCCCTTTAGGGCAGGGATGTCAAACTAATTTGCACCCGGGCCACATCAGCAATACAGTTCCTGTTGAAGGGCCGGTTTTAAATGGAGGACTGTATAGGTCAGGGGTCCCCAACCCCTGGTTCGCGAACCAGTACCAGTCCATAGGTCATTTGGTACCGGCCTGCAGTTGGACACAGTGAAAAAATTCTAATTAACTTCATTAAAAAAAAATTCCATTTACTTTCTTTATTTTACGATAATCTGGCAATATTTTATAATAAGTAATTCAGACTTTGATACAAACAGAATAGAGTCTGGTATAGATGTAGCTCCTCCATAACAGACTAATACATGTTTCTGCAGTTGATTAATATTTATTCAAGCTACAACTATTGTTCATTGCTGTGTAATTAAAAAAAAAACATAGGTTGATAAACTCTGCTGCATGGACTTTTTAAAATGCTTTTTAAGCTCACGCGGGCCACACAAAATGGCGTGGCGGGCCGCATTTGACCCCGGGCCTTGAGTTTGACACTTATGCTTTAGGGGCTCCGTACTGTTGGGATGGAATTAATGTTGTAAAATAAATGAGACTGGAGATAGTTTAGGCTTCCTGATTGCTGCTAAAGAAATTGTTTACACTCAGTGTACTAGAAATGAAATAGAGGAAGAGGAAATAATGGATCACAGACATCATGTGTTTTTGTTGTTGTTTATTTCTAAATAGTCCGGAGAAGTCCTGAAGAAAGCTAAGGAGCACAGCAGGCACATCAACGACATCCAGACGTCTGTAGACCTCACCATGTTCATCAGTGCCTCAAAAGACAACACCGCCAAGGTGAGAACATGTTATGTTACAGTAGTTCTGTGTGAGTTTTGTTCTTAACCTAAAAAATGAAAGCTGAGTTTTTGAAAGTAAATAAAGAAAAGGGTTTTTTTTATGACGATTCTTAGTCATCCAGGTCAAGGTTAAAGAGTTCTGTTAGGCAACTGGATGTGAAATTTTCTCAAGATAATGTTTGGCCTGTCATCCAAAAGGCTTCTTCAGTACTAAGTGGTGGTGGGGAGTACAGTAAATATATATAAGGCTCTACATCAGTCACCCAGATAGAGTGGAGTAAAAATTAAATTGTTTTGGAATCAAAGACACGAACTGCCAGTTGATGGTCACTGTTGTGCGTAGTGTGCTGATGATGTTGTGAAAATGACTGAATGCCATGTGTTCTCTCCACAGCTCTTTGACTCTGCCTCTCTGGATCACATCAAGACTTTTAAAACGGAGAGACCGGTGAACTCTGCCGCCATTTCTCCAAGCATGGATCACGTAAGATGAAGTTGTCACTGTTCAATGTTTGTCCTAGTAGATCAACAGTGACCTTGAACCTTGCCATTGTGTGTGTGTGTGTATGTGTGTTGCAGGTGGTTATGGGAGGGGGACAGGAGGCCATGGAAGTGACCACAACCTCCACCAGGATTGGCACGTTTGAGGCCAGGTGCGTTGAAGTGGTGTTTCCAGAGTATTATTGTGTGGTTGAATAGGGCATCCAGTGACTGTTGTCTTGATCTGAACAACAGACACTGATGTTCCTTATTCCATTGTGGTGTTAGCATTAGCTCTGAAGAAACCACAACTTTATGTAGTGATTATCTGTTTAAAGCATTGAATTTGTATTACTGTTTCTAGTGAGTCATAGCAATGTGTAAACATGTAGTTGTACTTTGTAGCTGCTTATAAGGAAAACCTTTTTATTTGTGTTAACAATACTGTGTTCTTCTACTCTACAGGTTCTTCCATGCTGCATATGAGGAGGAGTTTGGCAGAGTCAAAGGTCATTTTGGTCCCATCAACTGTGTGGCCTTCCACCCTGATGGCAAGAGGTAAGTGAGATCAACACAGCTTTTGATTGTTATTCCAGCTTGTACTTGTCATTTTATTCATTGTGCCTCTCCTGTTGTCATTTACAGTTACAGCAGTGGAGGAGAAGACGGATACACGAGGATTCACTACTTTGACCCGCAGTACTTCGATTTTGAGCTCGAGGCCTAAAGTCTTAGGCTTGTGGACAAAGCAGCTTGGACTCTGTCAGGTGAAGCAACTTCATTTGAAGTACACCACTTGTTGTTTGCAGGACTTGTAACTGAGTTCTGTAATTGCTTTACTGAATTTTTGTAATAGCTTGAGGAAAGTGCAAAGTTGTAGTGACCTTCATTGTGGAACTTGAGCTGTATTTGATTGAAAGACTGTTGTATATCTTCCAGAGTAAAGTGAATTGTTGGCCAATTGTGTGTTGTGCAGTCATTTTTCATAACAATTTCAAAAGCAGTTTCAAAAGTAGGCAACTGGATTCACCTCAAGGAAATTGAAGATGTTTCTCAGATCCAAGAGATTTCATCAGTTCTACTGTTTTCAGGTATGTATGTATCTACCCACCCCAAAAGAGGGGTGTGGTATTGAAAAAAGTGGTCACGTGAGATGTTAGCCCCATGGTGGATTGTTCCCCATCCCCATCCTCTGTAGCAGAGCTGCCTTCGAGGTGTGCTTTTTTATATATATATAAAGGCATGATCACCTAAATGTCTGCCACTCATACAATGAGTCAGGATGTTATGTCGGATGGTGCAGAATTTAGATGATTTATATATTTTCCCCACTTCCTATTTAATATCTATTAGTATTAGTTGGGATCATTCATGGCAGCCAGTCTAACGAAGAATAAAAAACACTCTCTGCACATACTGGACAATATGTCCGTTAAAAGTGAATGTTGCCATATGGTTATGAATAACCAAATATTTCAAATTATTTTGTATTTAAATTATTTATTTTGGTAGATTTTCACCAATGGGATTTTCTGGTACAGTCGTCAAAGCACGCTCTTTCTATCAAAGAAAAAGTTCTAAGAGAGTAAAAAAGTTCAAATATCAGCGGTGTGCGTTTGATAGAAGTTGAAATGATTCTTAGTTTCAGTAGTTCAATAATTTTTTGTCCAAAATAATAAACATGGCGTTGAAAATATGAAATGAACTTGCAAATATTGCTTTTCTGTACAGAAACCCATCCTGCTGCCTGGCCACGAACGGTCCACCACTCAGATCAAGTACAACGGAGAAGGAGACCTTCAGTTTTCCGTCGTCAAAGATAAGTGACACGATATGATTGCACTTAACAGGTGCCACCAATGACTGTAGGATAATAATTAGTTTGACGTGAAGAATATGGAATGTCCACGTGAAGCTACAAATGGCAACACGACTCTGCTAGTCGAGTAACTTGACTTGAGTAACAAACATAAGGCTGTGCTCATGAAAAGGGGACACGAATAAAGGCAGTAGAATTTATTTATTTTCATTCAGATTATAAGGAAAGCAGTAAAGATTTCGTTCCTGAGGTTATTGGTGGCACCAGTAATGTAGAGCAAAGCAATAATTGTGAAGTGAAGCCATGATTGCATTGAAGCCTTTTAATATGTACCTTCAACGATGTCTCCCCGCACAGGTGGCCAACGTGTGGTACTCTGTCAACGGCGAACGACTCGTTACCTACAACGGACACGTGGTAACAGTGCAGTGCGTCGACTGTGACTGTATCCTTTGATGTTGTTTAGCTCGGTATGCTGCCGTGTCTTCACCAGTGATGTCATCAGTTGATATCACTACTAATTAGTGATATGAAGGCCCTAAGATTTTCTGAGTAGTGTCAGAAAATATAACCAACGTGAAGGTGAACTCAAACAATAAACAAGTGCAGACTGGCGTACTGCAACGATGTTTTGACATTAAAGGTAATGTTATCATGCATCAGCACAGCGTTGTATAACCAATAAAAGCATAATACTTGTAATATTGTGATTGTCTGACAGATATTGTACCAAGTAAATGTGTAATCCTGACACAGTTGACCCCAGCGTACGCTCGTCAATTGCTGTCACGATACATGCTACGTTCCCTAACTGGCTCTTCTCAGGGGACACCCAAAAATGTCTTGACAGGATCAGCTGACGACAGCCGTCGACCGTGGGACTGCGAGATCAGTGGGTGAAAAGAAAATGCATGCATTTAGAATAATAGATAAAGCTTTCTGTGAATCCCTTGGGAGTTCCAGCTGCGGTACAGCACTAAAACAACAATAAAAATGCACAAAAAGGTCAAATACAAACATGAGTAGCAGCACACTGTTGATAAATAATAGAAATCTTAACAGTAGATGTTAGATTAGTCTGTTAGTATAAGTAGATTAGTCGGTAATTGTTGCTGTGTGTGGTGTTTGCAATCTCTTATATTGTTGTTATTCTAAATTAAATTGGTATGATGTGTATGTATAGTACAGTATACCACATATACCAATATGTGTATGTAAGCAGAAGTAGTATAATTATAGGGATATGTGAACAAGTATATAAAATAAATATGTAATACATGAAATATTTGCACAGTGTATATAGTTGAGTAGTGAAATAATAAAATTAAATAAACCGTTAGCTTTATAGGTGATTCCAGCAGAGATATCAGTGTATGAGTGTTTAAATGTATTTTGGATAATTTCATGTCAAGTGTTTTATATTTCAGTGTTTAATTTTTGCCTTTTTTAATGTCCACCGTCAGAAAACACGGGTTTGATTTCATCATGTGTTCCACAGACAAGCAGATGGGCTGTCAGTGTTTCATGAACTTGTTCGACCTGTGGGATTCACAACAGATCAGTAGGTGATCATCACTCACAACATAAGCAAAATAATACCATAAAAGAAACGAGACTGCACATAGTACACGGCTTCCTGAATGCTGCTAAAGAAGTAGTTAGCACACGGTATTATAGAAATGAAATACTGAATCACAGACAATATCTTTTGTAGAGCTTGTGATAATGAGGAATGTTTTTTTTGTAAATATTCCAGAGAAGTCCTAAAGAAAGCTGTGGAGCACATCAACACCATCCAGACATCTGTAGACCTCACCATGTTGATCAGTGCCTCAAAGGACCCCACCGCCAAGGTGAGAACTCTTTATGTAAAAGGTTGATGCGATTCACTTGGCAGCATGCTTTAGGACGTAGTCTTGCATTTTAAGGCATTTCAGGGACTTTTTATAAAAATGTTTGCTGAGTTCAAAGCTGACTGTGTGAGGCTGTTAAAGGCGCTACGTCAGCCACCCAGATAGTGGAGTAAAAATGAAAGTATTATTTGTTAGTTTTGGAATCCAAGACGTGGACTGATGATGTTGATGATGTTGTGGAAATGACTGAGTGCCACGTGTTCTCTCCGCAGGTCTTTGACTCTGCCTCTCTGGATCACATCAAGACTTTTAAAACGGAGAGACCGGTGAACTCTGCCGCCATTTCTCCAGACAGGTAAGATGAAGTTGTCACTGTATAATATGTATCCTAGTAGATCAACAGTGACCTTGAATCTTGCAATTGTGTGTGTGTTGTAGGTGGTTATGGGAGGTGAGTTGTGGTGTTAGCAGTAGCACTGAAGAAGCCACAACTTTGTATTACTGTTGATAGTGAGCAGTCATAGTTATGTGTAAACATGTAGTTGAAGTGACTACTTTGTAGCTGCATTAGGAAAACGTGTTTGTTTGTTTTAAATGTGAAATACTTTCTGGAGTTGTGGAGAATGTTAGCAGGTGAATATTTTGTGTTTAAAACTCCAAAACGTATTTTATTTGAATATTTGAAAAATCACCCAAAACATGCCTTACTATAGCCTTACCATCGTGATATAGCGATAAAAATAAAAAGTCCCTGAAATGCCTTAAAATGCAAGACTATGTCCTAAAGCATGCTGCCAAATGAATATTTTGTGCGATGCAGACACCTAGTATCGATCCATAAAAATAAAAAGTCCCCGAAATGCCTTAAAATGCAAGACTATGTCCTAAAGCATGCTGCCAAATGAATATTTTGTGCGATGCAGACACCTAGTTTTTTGCTCTGTTTTCACAGGCCTGAAATTTCAGTCAAATGAAGTGTAATTTGTGACTTTATGTTTAAAGCAAAAGCACAGGGAGACGCTCCCAGGAGAAGGAGGAGGGCGTGGTGTCATGTGACCGGAAGACGGATCATCACTTCTGCGCCGTGTGTCATGACTTCGCCTGGGGTTATCAGTATGGCGTGTGGTCCTGTGAAGGATGTAAGGCCTTCTTTGAGAGGAGCATCCAGGGTGACTTTTAGAATTCTTCCCACGCTTTGATATTTCATAATGTACAGATATACTGTGTGTGTGTATATATATATATGTATGTATACACCACACATTTATTTCATATATATATATGAAATAAATGTGTGGTTGTAGTGGTGTGTAGAGCTGTGGTAAACATTAACGTCTTTGTCTTTGTGGACGTGTGTCGTGACAGACGTGTGCCGCAGAGTTGCTCCAGGCTGCTGCGTCTCCTGGACGCCATGACCGACGCTGTGGTGTGGGCCATCGCCAAGAGCGGCCTGTGGTTCCGTCAGCAGTACAGCCGCCTCGCTCACCTGCTCATGCTGCTGTCACACATCCGTCATGTCAGGTAAACATATGCGCCTCCTGATGAGGAGCTTGGACGACTCCCCCAGTCCAGGGACAGAGGATATGGAGTCATATAAAATTAATGTTGTTGTGTGTGTTTTAAATATCATTTTAACAGTAAAGGTGCAGTGCAAGAAGAATAAAATGTACGCCATGAAAGTTTGATCAGAGTTGTTCTCCCATGTCCATCCAAAGAAGGGAGAAAAGTGGCACTTAATAGCGCAACAGTAATTGGTCAACAGCAGTGAAAATGAACATACACGGGAATTTAAGTGAAAGTTATAAGTGTAGGTGAAACACTGGGCTGGAGGATTTATGTTTGATATGTGAACTTTAAAGCCAAAGGTAAGGTAACATTTGGGAGGATAAATGTTTCAATCTGTCGTGAGTGACGTAACGGGGTTCAGAAGGTTGAGACATTTAGCTGGAAATCAGGAAAAAAAATAGACTGGAGACAGAAAAAGAATCAAGTTTTAATTGCAGTCACTATGGGGAGTTTGAAGCTGAAGGTGGATGTCATTTGGATGTGTCATCTTTAGAAGTGTGACGTTTCTGCCTGTATTTGTTGACGACTGTTGATCTGTGAGTGTTTCCTTCCCTTCTGTCTTTTCCTGCAGATTTGTCTGCAACAACAAAGACATCCTGCTGATTTGTCTGCAACAACAAAGACATGAAGATGAAGAACGTGGGGCCTCTGTATGACCTGCTGCTGGAGATGCTGGACGCTCACATCATGCACAGCTGTCGTCTGGGCCGCCGTGCTGCTCCCTCTCCTCACCCTCTTTCCCCTGCAGGTGATGGGCAGGGTGTCACGGTCCAGAAGGAGACGTACTGGCAGTCTGCAGACTCTGGGAGAAGCTCCTCACACACATGGACTCCTGGCAGCTCCAAAGTGGATGGAGAAGGACATTAAAATGTTTTTTTTTTTTTAAAGACATAAAGAAAACATTGACACACTGCTAAGGTTTCACCTGCTTTGCACATGTTAACTCACCAATGCTGTTTTATATTGTGACAAGGTAAAAGCTGGAGCCCAGGATGGATGGAAGTTGTAGAGAGGTCACCTGGTGAAAAAGGTGACTATGCTTTGCACAAAACTGATGTCATAAAGTAGTAATAGGTGGTTTGAAAAGGTAGGACAGAGATTAGATGGTGAGATTAGAGCTGGAGATTTAATGTCCACCCTGCAGAGGACGTAATGTTTGACCATTAGAGCTGGTCAAACAACCAATCAGGGTGAAGCAGTGAAACAAAGTAACAATGCAGTGAAAAAGTGTGAGGCAGGGGTATATAGTGATGGTATGAATGTAATATCATACCATATATGAATGATAGTAGTTTAAGCTACATGTGGACTGTTAAGTGGGACAGATGAGGTAGGACAGGAAGTGAGTGGAAATGGAGGTGGTGAGGTGAAGTGAGCTGCAGGGGGAAATGTGTGGGTGGAGGAGACACTGCTGTAGGAGACTACTGCTTTTCAGGTAGGTGCGTCTTCATGGAGCGGCAGTGGAGAGGTGATGGAAGTTGTGTTAGAAATGACAATGGACCGTGTAGGCTAATGAGGCTAATTTGATTGATGTTGTTATTGTGACTAATGTCAAATGTCAGGCAGAGAGAAGGTTTGAGAAACGTGTTTAAGAAGTTTTTATGAAGGTGAAGAATCCTGAACTGTTGAAATGGGTAGCTATGCAGCTTGAGGTTGACTAGCAGATGTTTTTGTAGAAATGTGTGGGTTTTTTCTTGTTACTGGGAAGATGGTTTGAAATCCTGTTTTGGGCAATGTAGTTGTGATGGCAGAAGTTGCATGTTGTCATGAAGCAGTATTTGTTATCAGTGGCAGCAGTTTGGAGTGTCCAGGATCAGTTGGTGGGAAGAGGAAACTTCCCAAACAGTGTGTATAATGTGAAGGAGTTAGGGTTTAAAAAGGAGTTCTGGGTGAGGTAAGCAAAGGTGACGTGTTGCTTCAGTAGCATCTGTGTGAATCACGTTGCTTGGGCAATCAGAAACACTGTGAAGGCAAATGTTTATGTCACAGATCTGACTGTTGGGTTTCCTTCTGGACTGTCTGTCAGAGCTATGTAGTGGCAGTGGTTCTAGTGTTGTGTTCTTTGAAGGATGTCACGCACACTTTGCTTTTATTTCAACCGTTCTGTAATGACGTGAATAAGCAGAGGTGGTGTAATCCTCCTTGTTGTCAGATGTTGTGTTTGTTTCACTATGTAAAGTGACATGGTACCAATCAGTTCTGAGTGATGGTGTTGGTGTTTCCTGTGAAAGGAGGATGAAGTTTTATTGGCACATGTTAAAACCAAACTGTGTTTTCATGTTGTGATGTGTTGCTGAACATGTTGTGTGTGAAACCATTAAATGCAGCCAACAAACTGTGTGGGGTGTTCAATGAAGTGATACAACTGTGTTGTTGTTGTCAGTGTTATGTGTTGGTGAGATGTGCAGTTTGACTGAAGTATGAGTGAAAATGTGTGAGAGAGGTTGTAAGATGTTGAAGTAGTGTTAAAAAAAGTGAGAAAAGGAGGAAGAGGTAAGGTTTTGGATGTTTTGGTGAAGTCGTAGTTATGGATGTTGTGTGTTAGTGACACAGACAGTCGACGTCACCAGGCGTTGCTGCGCACCTGGCGGTAATCAACAGGTTAGCATGTTGCTAATGGTATGGCGTAGTTTCGACGGGTAACTTTGTAATACCGAGTTATGGCGAAATTAGCGGGTAGTGAGACAGTCACACAGCGGTAGAAAAATGAAGCGGGTGATTTAACGTGGAATGGATACGAAGAATGTGTGAGACGAACGGTAAGAGGTGAGTTATTTTGTTTGTCGAGTGAGGAGTGTGTGCTGTGCTAACAATGTTATAATGCGTGTAAATGAGTGTAGCATGAAGGCGTTCGTTTTTCCAACAAAAGGGGTGGCGCGGGTGTAGGTGTTTCAGTATTAGTTTCCAGAGCAAGATTAACATGGTAATAACGAGCGGTGGTTTGGGTTTGTGCACAATAACATGTCAATGTGGAGGTTCCCGAGAGCCGGTGTGGGTGACGTGTTAGCGCAGGGGTGTGGAAAGTTTTCAGCAGAGACACGGGATGTTGTTGTTGTTGTTGTGTGAATAGGTAGGCAACAAAAAGAGTTATGGACAAGTGGCTAAAGTTGAGAAGTGTGAAGGAGTAGTTGTAGGAGGTTGGAGAGGGAAAAAAACAGTGACGTATACTGTCCAATGTGATGGTGTTGTAATATTTATTCCGAGTAATAGTATGATAGAAATGAGTGTAAGTAAGAGAAAGAATAAAGGTTGTTGTTATTGTAATGTAATCATTAGTGTAGTGATGGTGACAGTATTAACATAGTTATGATGTGAGTAGCTGCAGTGGCATGAAAAAAGTGAGTGGATGGAACATGTGTAACGGAGTTATCAGTATATGGTTGCAGTTGGCTTTTGAAAGGCTTTACAGTGGAACCTGTGGAAAGGAGTTGGGTGAAGTAATGAATACGAGTGTTACAACAGCAGTTGTGTTTAGCTGTAGTCATATAGATGGAATGTTAGCTGTCCATGGGGAAGTATATAAGAATGTGTGTGTGGGATGTTGTGGTTGTTGTTTGATGTTGGGGGGATACACTGTAGATAAAGAGGATGGTTGTACGAGTGTTGTAGTGGAAGGGTTAAAGGTTGTATGTAGGGGTACAGTTGTGATAGATAGCATGTAAGGCAAGTGGTAATGTTTAGGTGTGCGTGGTGGGGAACAGAAGTTAACGTGTGGTGGTCGGAGGTCCTTCATGAATGGGGTTTGTTAATGTAATGTGAGCATTAGTGGTGGTGTAATTTGTGGTTGTAAGTTGTTGGCATGAGATGTGAGTGAGTGAGTTGGTGGTGGAAATGAGGTGTACAGTATGTGTTCAACAGGTTGAAGAAGCGACGTGTCGGACGAGACGTGGACTGAGTTGGAGCCACACAGCGGTACAAGGTACGGTGGAATGAAGAGTGATGTGCGTACGGTGCAGTGATGCTGTGAAAGTGATGGAGTGTGTTATGTGTGTGTATGCCACTGGGTGGCAGCAGACGTGAGATGTGACAGAGAATGTGTGAAGTAGTAGTGGTGTTGTGTCGCTCTCCAAGGTGGGGCAGAGGTGAGTGTGGGTGGGATGTAGGTGGTGGAATGAAAGAGGGGGTTTTATGGCAAAGATAGGGAATGTAGCAAAGAGACAGACTAACAAAGAATATTGCAGTATGTACGTATTAAAGTGTAACAGTATGTTGTTGTTGTTGTTGTTGTTTGAGAAGGAGTAGGAAACAGCAGTAGTGGATGGAGTCCTGGATGTTGTAGGAGTGGGTAAGTTTGTATGTGATGTGGTGTCATAGTAGTGAAAGAAGTAAGTGTGTGAAAAGAGTAGAGTCAGTGGTGTGAAGGTAAGGAACAGTGAGAAGTGAGAAAGTTGATGTGGGTCTGTAGCTGGTGTGTTTGTACTGTGTGTGTGTGCTAGGGATGCAGGGAAGAGGTTGGCTGAAATAGGGAATGAGGGAGTATTAGTGGTGTAGCAGTGATGGAGAGGATGGGGCAGTAGAATGAATGGATAGTGATGTTGGAGGGGGTAAAAGAAATCCAAAATAAGTGAAGAGTTGATGTAGTAGATTGTGACACACAGTAGGAACGTAAGTGAAATGGAAAAGACAATGTAGAGCGTGAGCCGAGTGCTCACACTCTACACCAGTGCTTGTGAAGAAGTGTTTTGGGAGGACGTCTGCAGGTGTAGGTATGTGGTGTGGTGTAGGCAGAGTGGAATGAGTGGGGCATGTAGTGTGGGAAGCAGTGTATTGGATGAGGCAATTGAAGGGTGGGGCGGATGTGTGGTGGGAAAGGGTGAGGGAAATATATGTGGTAGTGTGTGTGTTCAGATGTGCTGTTGTGTTTGTCAAGCAGGGGGTGTGAAAATGCCTTAAAATGAAGGATGAGGGCCTAAAACATGCTGACAGGTGTCAGTCTCTCAGGCCGTCTGTGTGTGAGTGTGAGCCCAGTGATGTGAACATGAAGTCAGAGGGTGTGATGTTGGTACCCAGTGGTTTGAGGAGAACAGGGAGGTGTCAGTGTTGTAGGTGAAGTGAATGCTGTCTGTGGGTGGTAGTTGGAGGTGTTGAGTTGTGTGTGTGTGCAGCAGAGATGGTGGTGTTTGCTGTGCTGGCTGTGGTTAGTGCTGGTAACTGTGTGTGACAGTAAACAGAGAAGGTGTGTTGGAGTGTTTTAGGTAGGTAAAGTGTTTGAGTAGTGGGTTCATGGCTAAGTAGTGGCCAATAATGATTGGAAAGCGGCAGATATGGAAGTGAGTGGTGTAGGTGTGGAGAAGAAGTGAGTGTAAGTGGAGGTATGAGAAGGAGGTGACGGGTGTGTGGTGTGGGGTAGTTGAGGTGGGGGTGAAAGGATGTAGTTGTTGTGATGTGGGGGTAATGTGAAGTATTGAATGTGTTGCGGTGTGGAGTGGATAATTTCCAAGTCAGTAGTTGTTTGTATGTGCAGGTGGTTATTGCAGTGGTTGACAGAGTTATGAAAGGTGTGTGTGGTTATGGAGAGTAGTGAATGTGGAGCGGTAGCACGTTTGGACACAAGTTCCCGTAGTGTAAGGTGTGAGTGTGGATTGTACAGTGTCCAAGTAGGATGTAGGTAGTTGTGTTAGAGTAAGAAGATGGTGTGGTGGTGTGTGGCAGGAAGGTTGTGTGGATGTGTTGGAGACATTGGAGGTGTCATGGAGGTACAGAGGGAGTGGCTGGGGTCTCAGCAGTGGTGTGTGTGGTGCAGCACAGGTAAGGTGTGAGAAAGTGTAGTGTCACAGGTGGATGTTGTGAAGTGTGTGTAGAGTAGCGTTGTGTGTATGAGGTGTTGTGGCATGTGTGTGGATGCTATGGAGTCATGGCATAAGTGGTGATAGTGTGTATGTGTGTTTAGGATGTGAGGACATGTTTGTGGGGTAGGTGGTGACATAAGTGTGTTTGTGAGTTTGCAGGCATGGTGTTGGGCCTTAGTGATCCTGGGAGGGGGTAAGTGTAGGGGGTTTGGAGTAGGGTGTGGTGCAGGCTAAAGTGTGGGAGGTGAAGAGGTGGGAATGTGTAAGAATGGGAGGTGTGCGTGAGTGATGTGGTGTAGGGTGTGTGTGGCGTAGCAGGTTGATGTGAAGAAGTGTTTTGGGAGGACGTCTGCAGGTGGTGCAGGTGTAGGTATGTGGTGTGGTGTAGGCAGAGTGGAATGAGTGGGGCATGTAGTGTGGGAAGCAGTGTATTGGATGAGGCAAGTGAAGGGTGGGGCGGATGTGTGGTGGGAAAGGGTGAGGGAAATATATGTGGTAGTGTGTGTGTTCAGATGTGTCTGTTGTGTTTGTCCAGCAGGGGGTGTGGAAATGCCTTAAAATGCAGGATGAGGTCCTAAAACATGCTGACAGGTGTCAGTCCCTCAGGCCGTCCGCGTTGTGGGCCGGACATGGACGCATGGGCTCAACCGTTCCGCTGCATCACCCACAGGGTGGACCCCAGCACGCTCCGACCCTGCAGAGGACGTGGGTGGAGTTAAGGCCACGGGAGAGCGTGTTGAGCAGCAGGTGAGACAGCAGGTGTGGCGGTGACAGTGTTGTGATGTTGTGACTGTGTTTGTATGTGTGGGGTGTAAAGTTTGTTTTGAGAATATGTGTGAGGCAGAAGTCAGGGAGTCTGTATTGAACAATTAGAACAGTGTTTGACCAAAGTCAGGGTTTCTGTGTTTCCCAGCGTTTCTGGTGAAATGAAGGTGAAAGTCAGAAAGAATGTAATGAAACATTATCAAATGCAATTTGCAGTTGTCGTCACCATGGCAACATGAAATGTGATTAGCAACAGGGTGAAACATTAGTTTGTTCCTGGTTTGACATGAAGTACAGACTGTTATGAAGCCTTTGTTGTGTAAAGAGTTATGGGAAAAAACTAGCAGGAAATACAGCGTAGACCGTGGTTGGTCTCTGTTAGTGTGAAGTAGTAACTGATCAACTGTTGTTGTTGTTGTTGATTAATGTAATGTGTTCCACAGAAATGCGTAATGTTTATGTCCCCGTCTACAATGTAGTGTGTGCATCGCTCTGTTTTCACAGGCCTGAAATTTCAGTCAAATGAAGTGTAATTTGTGACTTTATGTTTAAAGCAGAAGCACGAGGAGACGCTCCCAGGAGAAGGAGGAGGGCGTGGTGTCATGTGACCGGAAGACGGATCATCACTTGTGCGCCGTGTTTCACGAGTTTGCCTGGGGTTAAGGATGTAAGGCCTTCTTCAAGAGGAGCATCCAGGGTGAGTTTTAGAATTCTTTCCATATTAGTCTTTTACTGGGAAATTAAGCTTTTTTTCCTGGTTTATATATTTATATGTATATATATATATATATATATAAAAAAAAATATATATATATATGTGTGTGTGTGTATATGTGTGTATATATGTATATATGTATATATATGTGTGTGTGTATATATATGTACATGTATGTATATATGTATATGTATATATGTGTGTGTGTGTGTGTGTTTGAGAAACTTAGCTGTATGTGTACAGTGTGTTATGGTTGGGAGGGAAATAAACCTGTGTGTGTTATTTCAGGACAAAACGGCCGGCCACCAATCAGTGCAGTATTGACAAAAATCGCCGTAAGAGCTGCCAGGCCTGTCGCCTTCGAAAGTGCTGGAATGAGCAAGTGTGGTGAGTCTCCTATCAACCTGTCAAGGAATATTATTATTATTATTTAAAAAAAAAGGTGTTTGAGTAGATGATGAAGGATTCAGTGTTCCGTTAGAGGAACTAGATCAAAGGTTACAGTGACAGAGATGTGGCTTCTGATTGTCACCTGCATGGACACACACAGTAGCCTTTACTTCCTGTTTGTATTCCGTTAGTCTGTGGTTGGACTTGCATGTCTATGACATTAATGATGCGTGTGTTTAACAGTAGGGCATGACATTCTGTCGCTGCTGTGTTTGTTGCTTGTTTTTCTTCCAGAGTTTTCAGACCGGTGTGATTACGTGTAATGGTCATATGTTGTCGTGGAGTATCGTTGTTGTAGTTTTTGTGTTTTGGTACTATAATAATCCCTGCCTCTGTGTCCTGGTTAGTGTGAGATTTGTGTGATTAACTGAAAGAAAAAAGTAATTGGGCGTTCCTGTTCTCAAGGTGCATTAGAAAATGATGCCATGAAAGTTTGATCAAAGTTGTTCTGCCATGTCCATACAAAGAAGGGAGAAAAGTGGCATTAAATACTGCAACAGTAGTTGGTCAACAGCAGTGAAAATGAACATACATGGGAATTGAAGTGAAAGTTAAAAGTGTAGGTGTAACACTGGGCTGGAGGATTTATGTTTGATATGTGAACTTTAAAGCCAAAGGTAAGGTAACATTTGGGAGGATAAATGTTTCAATCTGTCGTGAGTGACGTAACGGGGTTCAGAAGGTTGAGACATTTAGCTGGAAATCAGGAAAAAAAATAGACTGGAGACAGAAAAAGAATCAAGTTTTAATTGCAGTCACTATGGGGAGTTTGAAGCTGAAGGTGGATGTCATTTGGATGTGTCATCTTTAGAAGTGTGACGTTTCTGCCTGTATTTGTTGACGACTGTTGATCTGTGAGTGTTTCCTTCCCTTCTGTCTTTTCCTGCTGATTTG